TGTGTGTGTGTGTGTGTGTGTGTGTGTGTGTGTGTGTGTGTGTGTGTGTGTGTTTTGATGGTTAAAGATGTTCCCATTGCCCGGACAATTCCACCCTTTTCAAAAGCCCAGAAATTCCTAACTACTCAAAAGCTCATGGCCCGTATGTCAGAGCTGTAATCGCAAGGGCCTCCTGGCAGTCAGGGGACCTTTTCCTCTTCCCACTGCCGCTTGGAAAGCATGTTCTAAGCTGCAGCTCTAAATTAGAAGATGTGTGACTATCAAGTTCCCACTGGGCTGGCGTGAAGGAGCCGAAGGCCTCGTACTGCTCAGTCTTGTTCCCTTTGGGCAGAGAGCCTTTGCAGTTTTCTGAAGAGGGAGATTTTCCTGCCTATGGGCTCCATGTCTCCAAGCCCCGCAGCAGTCACACAGACTGCTCAGTTCAGGGTAGGATAGAGAGGGTTGGAGTTTTTTTCTGCAGCCAGCTGAGATCTCTAAAAAGCATCCTTGAGGTTGCGGAAGGTGCCAATGCCACCACTGCTGACCCTTACCAAATGAAACCAAAACAAGAGTTTCCCTCTCCCTTAAAGCTGAAGGACAAGCCAGTAGAAAGCAGAACTGGAATTTACTTAAGGGCATTCTTAATATAGATTAGGTGCAAGTGTTCATATAAATAGAGTTTTTTGGGGGGATGGGGTGGGGAAAGAATAAGAAATACCCATATGTAGGTGTAGACTTCTTTCAGGGAAATTATGCATGTCTCATGTGCGCACGCACATGCACACAAATGTTCACACCCTTAATCCTGTGGGTTTCTAAGTTAGATTGCTTTAAGGGTATAAATTACAACAACGTCTTAAGAAACTGTTTAATCTTTATTTTTTATTTTATATGTATGAGTGTTTTGTGTGCACCATGTACATGCATTGCCTGTGGAGGCCTGCAGAGGGTTTCGGAATCCACCTGGGACTGGAGACAGTTGTGAGCCATCACATGGGTGCTGAGGATTAAACATAGGTTCTCTGGAAGGGCAGTAAGTGCTCTTAACCATTGAGCCATCTTTCCGGCCCCTCAACAAGGTTTAAAGATTAAGCAGCACTTAATGTCTAAGTAGAGTTTAAAATCTATGAGCTGGCTTACTTATTTCTCTCCAAAAATTCCCTTTTGCAAATGAAATTAGAATGTGGTTTTAGGAGGTGGGTGATCTAGATTTAGGGATGAGAGCGGAGTGCTAGCATGGAAAAACTCAAGGGTATAAACATTCTGTCTCTAGGCAGACACAGCTTGTTGTGTTTAGCATCCTGGTGTGAGGTGTCTGTAGGAAAACCCTGCATTATCTCTGCAGGCAATTTTGGCCTTATCAGCAGTGCTGAAGTTTCCTTGCCGTCTGCAGGAAAGGCATCTAGATCCCAGGGTGAGGGGCTCTTCTTTTTCTCATGTCCCTCTGCTTTTCTGTCTTTCTCTTCTGCCTCTATGGGAACATCAATGGTCTTCAGAACAGCCCTCCATTAATGCACTGGATAAGCCGGGAAGGACAGAACATAACATGGGCTGAAATGTGCTTATGTTGAGCACCACGTCTGTGCGCCTACAGACTGTGTTACCAGCTGCAAAGCACATTCCATTGAATCCTGTTATCTGGGCCTTGGAAATGCATTCTTTGTCCCCAGCCTCACTTCTAGAGGAGGCTGAGATCTGGGAGAATGAGCTGACTGACAGAAGTTGTCAGGTACAGAGTTTAGGCTGAACCTTGGTTTGTGGCTTTAAAGATTATAACTTTGCACAGCCCTTCCTTTTCTTGTGATGGGCAATGTTATTAATTAGAGAGCCCGACAGACTTGATTGCCTTGCTTTTTGGAATGTATTAAAATTAGTATTTTTATCAGGTCTTCTCTCTCTTTTTAAAAATAATCAACTGCAAATTGGTGTTTCTCCATTAGTAAGTGTTAAATATTACTTCTTTGTTTATGAGACAGGGTCCCATCTGCACCTCAGGTCAGCTTGGAACTCGATACATAGCTTAGGCTAGTCTCAATTTCTCACTGCCCCTCCTGCCTCTGATCAGCAGCTCCACTCAGCCTGCTGGAATCACAGGTGTATGTTACCACTCGAAGCTCCTTTTAGTGCTTGAATGATCTTTTTCTAAAACAGGACGCTGAAATTTTTGCAACAGTTTTTTTTTTTTTTAAAAGAAATCACATAGGGTTGCAGGATGCATTGTTTGTTAATTCCTTCCTTACAAGATAGGACTGTGAATTATCTGGTGGACAGTGACTGTGTCTCAGAGATAATCTTTGTGTATGTGAGTAGCCTCACACTGTGCCAGCCACTTTTGTGTGTTCCTTTGTGTGTGATTGTTTTTCTTGAATCACAGGTGATTCTTTTAAGGACTTAACGATAAATAGATGGGCTAGATTTCAAAATCAACCTTGTTGTCTTTCTAGGGTTGAGCTCCATAAAATGAAAATCTCCCGGCCCAGCCCTGAAGTGGGTAAATACACTATGATCTTCCACACCAGAGACAAAGGGAACGAGGTGAACGTGGACCGGTAAGATCTGGATTCCCCCACCTGGCGTCCATCTCGTGAGTCTCCTGTGTAGCCAACACACCATGCTGAGATTGATCGCCTAAGCCAGTTGACCTTGTTAAAAGCTTTTTAGGAAGGAGCTTTTAAAGCAGAACCCAAGTAAGGGAGAATAGTCCACAGACCCCTTATTTCTGCAAGGGTGAACTCCTGGCTTCTCTGCCTTGTCCCACTTTTTTCTTCTGTCCATTGGATTCTTTATCATAGCGTCTGTGTATGTATTTTCACATGCATCCTTAAAATATAAAGAGTCCTATAATGAGAACCATAGTACCGTTATTATGCCTAAAATAAAATTAACAAAATAATTCATTATGTCTGTTATGAATTATGCACACATGGGAAGCCCTCAGCTGGCCTGGCCAGGGTATCCCACGATGCAGGGGAATGAGCTGACATGCTGTAGCGGATGTGGCGGCAAGTGACGGTGACGGCATGCCATGCAGGCATGGTGTGGGCAATGGCGGGTGGACATTCACAACCCCGAGGCTGCATCTGCTTGGAAGTGGTTTATTATAACGAGGGATAAAGAGAAAGATAGGAAAAGACAGAAAGGAGAGGGAGGAAGAGAGGTGCGTACCTCTTGAGAGGAAAGCAGAAGAGAAGAAGGGGCGGAGTTTTTCCTTAAAAAGAGGCTTTTAGGTCAGGACGCAAGGTGGCACCAAGGGGCAGGATTCCAAGGGGCGGATCAGAATATTAACAATGTCACTGCATGTCCAAAATCCGTTTTTAGATTTCTTGGTTGTCTAATAAGGACCTTTAAAAAAAAGCATGGGTTTGTTCAGTGTGATAAATAAACAAAGTCCGCATTATTATCAGGATAACCTTTGGCCTGGAGGTTCTCTTTTGATTCTTTTTTGAGACAGAGTTTCACTGTCCACGTAGTCCCCTTTAGCCTCAAGTGACTCCACTGTCTCACCTTCCGAGTGCTGGGAGTGTAGATGTGTACCACCGTTCCCTACCCTTTCTTTTTGTTTATTCCTTGCAATGCATTGTTGAACGTATCGGGCCATGTATCCAGTAGATTCGGCAACAGTAACCCCCGCTTTAGGAATTTTTGCTAATTGCCACCTAGAGATTTGATGTGTTCCTGTGACCTCTGTATTTCTTTTTATTTATTTACTTCTTTATTTCTGAACTAGGAGAACAGGTTTGGTGTCAGGATTGTTCTGGGGCTTGGGTATTGTCGGCCGGATCTGCTCATTTTGAGATTTCTCATCAGATCTTTACCTAGTGATTTTTAGCACCTGTTTCCCATCCCTTCAATCAAGGGTTTCAAAGCTGTGATATCCTGATTCTACCATCCCTTCTTCCTTTATTAAATCTTCTTACAAAGAAGGACATACTCTCTTTATCTGTTTGAGTACCGTGGGGTATAGTTCCTTTAGGAAAGGCAGACTGAAGGGTGAGAACCCAGCACTGATGGGTCGTTTTCCAGAGTAATCACCAGGTATCCCTGAGCATCCTTCAGTTTGTGGTTTGTGTTCTTCTTGATAAGAAAGATCAGCCAGAGTGCTTCAAGCTGGCCTGAGTCCCAAGGATGTAACTGCGGCTGTCTCCGGGAGCTTCCTGCTCTGTGCTTTAGGGAGAGGTGATGTCCTAGCTGTTAGTTGTTTTTGGTGCTGTGCTCTTACCCTGCAAGGAAATGTCACGAAACATGACAGAATCCGCTAATAAGAGTTTTATTGAGATAAAAGAGACACATGTGTAGAAAAGAAGAAAGAACTGGGAATATGGCATTGGCTTATAAAGGCTGGGCGTGCACAGGTTGACGTAACTACTTTACGCATGTGTGTAGATCACATGGCTACTCTGCGTGCTTACGTAACCATGCAAAGTCACGGATCCTGGTCACGAGAGATGCCTTGACCCAGAAATGGCTATCTTGACCTGGAACTGGTTAGGCAGAAGTGTCCAGGTCCACTGGGCATCAAAAACACGCCCAACCGTGGGGGCGTGTTGTGAACCCTTCACTAGCCCTGTCCTGTTCCCTCCTGCCCAGCTTTGGCCCTTTCACTGAGGAACTCTGGCAGATAAACACATTGTGGCTCTGATGGAAAAATTTATGTTTTTTTTTGTTCTGAGTTTGTTCCCTTTGAAAAGCTGTATTCAAGAAGTTTTGCCCATTTATTAATCTCTACATGTGAAGATGGTGTTAAAAATCCTTTAGCTCGCTGGGTGGTGGTTCCCAGCACTCGAGAGGCAGAGGCAGGCGGATCTCTGTGAGTTCGAGGCCAGCCTGGGCTACCAAATGAGCTCCAGGAAAGGCGCAAAGCTACACAGAGAAACTCTGTCTCGAAAAACAAAAACAACAACAACAAAAAATATTTTAGCTCTTTTATTAGAGGCAACAATTTCAAAGGAATAGACTTTTCTATGCCTTTCCAGTCGTTATCAATAGTTGTGCACTTTTCTGTTTGTTATTTAATACTTACAAGAGAATACTTATAAATTGTATGACAAGTATGAAGTGTCTTGATCCCCACACTGACCCCTTAGATATGTCTGTGTGGCCTTCCTAAACCCACACCTTCCTTTCAATACCCACCCCTGCCCTAGGTGACACTTTGCTGAACTTTGTGATACTTATTTGTCAAATGATAATCCTTTAGGCTGTTTCTTCATTTATTATTTGTTTTAAAGTTTTTTTTTTTTTTTTTTTTAATTGAGACAGGGTTTCTCTGTGTAGCTTTGCGCCTTTCCTGGAACTCACTCTGTAGTCCAGGCTGGTCTTGAACTTGCAGAGATCCACCTGCCTCTGCCTCCTGAGTGCTGGGATTAAAGGCGTGCGCCACCACCGCCCGGCTGTTTCTTCATTTATTGTTTTCCATACTTTTTTATTCCTAAATCAAACAGAAATTAGTTTTGCACATCTTCAACTGTGTGTTAAGTGAAGTTATATTGCATTTCTTCTCCTTTGACGTTATGTAGCTCAACATTGTGCTTCTGGTCTCCACCCATGTTGTCAGTCATGGCTGAGCTCCTAGAGAACTCCTCAATCAATGCCCACTTCTCTACCCCTGTTGCTCAGCTCCTCCAACTACAGGGGCGGACTAGCTTCCTCAAACACATCCTGTTCTTTTGTCTGCCTGCGCCTCTTGCCCAATAGTGTTTGCTTTCTTTCCTTTTTCACTTCCTGAATTTCATATTTTTAACCTTCTGTGAAACTATCACCTCGATGTGTCCCTCCCTAGAGTCTTTCAGGAAATAAGGTGTCCCTTAGTTTATCCTCTTGTGTGTGTGTGTGTGTGTGTGTGTGTGTGTGTGTGTGTGTGTGTGTGTGTATGCGTGCGTGCGCGCGCGCGCACACACACACACACACACACACACACTGTTTTTGAGACTCTTATGAGAGCTGTGTATCCTCTTGTCTATAGACAACTTTCTTCTCACAATAGTGGAATGATCAGAGATCCCGTGATGTTCAGCCAAGGACGTATTCCGAGTGGGCAGCAGACCCCCTTTCTGTCAGTGGTTCTTGTAACCCCTCTGCCCTATGGATGGGAGCCCATGGGAGGCAATGTCCACTCTTGGTCCAGGGCCTGATGTAGGGTTTGAGCCACAGATACACAGCTGTCATTAATGCCTAGTCAGTGAGGAAAACACGTTGGTTTTTTTTTGTAATGGGAAACTCAGCAAGTATAGTGAATTGTAAAATTGCTTGTGCTACACTCTGGAGAAGGACAAAATGCAGTGGAACTGCGTGCCGTGTTCTCATTTTCATCATTCTTGTTTGCTTTTTTTTTTTTTTTTATCTTAGGATGAAGCTGTTATACCAGATGTCACGAGTCTGGAAAACAGATGGTTTATCGAGTTGTTCTTACAGATTACTCTCTCTGGAGCACAATCCTTTATATATCAACATCACAGTGGATTTCTGGACTGGGGCATGACCTAGATCTTTGGATGGTGTTCAAGAGAACTGATGATTTGATTGTAATCATTTTGGCCTAGAGACTTCCACAGTAATACATGTTAAGAACTTGTTCCAGCTGATTATTGGGCCAAATTTTTCCGTTTCATGTTTTTTTCAGCAAGAGCTCTTGGTTATGTGGAATGTAGAACCATCATAACAGGACAGCTTTCTTAGCTGTTTTGATCATGGTAGTGAAATGGCGTAACGAACATACTTGAAGGACTAAAGATAAAAGGTTGCAGTGAAGGCAACTTGAGAACTGTGTCTTCAAAAGATTGACTTCAGCAATGCATTATGAGATTAAGGAGTGGGGGAATCAAATTCCCACGTGTCTTAGAGAACCAGCATTGACAGGTCTAAGATAGGAAGGTACTAAGATGTGTCTCTGTTACTCATCTCTCCTGCATGGCCTCCTGTGAAGTGATGGATTCTGGATGAGAAGAAATCCACGGAAGACAGGAGCAAAGTCAAGAATCAGATGTCGCAAACTTGACCATGAAGAGGTGGCGGCGGCGGGCAGAGGGTGGGGTGAACTGGCAGCAGTGGCTGTGCTGGCTGCCGCCCCAAATCCTCCGTGGTGGATGCTTCCTCACCAGACACACCTTCCAGTCTGCGGCCACCCGACCTTGAATGTACCCAGTCTCTTCAGAGGCACTCACTAGTAATAGCCTATCAGAGAACACACTCTCTCCTAGTTTTTAAAGCATTTTTATAAAATGATTTTGTACGTGTAGGATATGAATGAGCAGATTATAAGCTACATAATGATCAATAATACATCTATAGAGTACCTCTGTAGTAAAATATGAAAAAGCTTCTGGCTCTTGGTCTTGTTTTTTACTGTTCATTTAGGCCGGAGGTTTCTTCATTTCAGCCCTTCTCATTGTAAATGTCTTAAAAACCCAACAGTGGACTGGAGAGATGTCTCAGCATTCAGGAGTAGGTGCTGCTCCTGCAGAAGACTTGGATTTAGTTCCCAGAACTCCCTTGAGGGGGGGTAGCTTATAGCTGCCAGCTTCAGGGGATCCAATGCCTCCGGCCCCCACAGCCAACTGCCTCATGTCACGTCTCAGTCTTCTTCCCTGGCCTCTCTGAATTCTTACTGTTTTTATTCCTCTGTGTGTCCTTTCCATAGTCCGAAGTGGGAATGGCGGAGCTTTGGGAACGTACCTGTCTGGTTAGTGCTCAGGCAGGGTGCAGGAGGCCCTTGAGGGGACAGGGCCTGTCATCTGGAATACCCTTGGGGTTGCGGTACTGACAGAGAATTAGAGAGGTGTGAGAGAGAAGGCCCCGGCACCTCTGAGCTGCCTGAGGAGCAGGGCAAAGGTGAAGTGGGAGAAAGGTCGTGGAAGCCATCCTGTTTCTGAGTCAGAAGCGTAGTAAGAATATTTCAGTTGCTTAGGAGGATGAAATCACAAGTAACACAGATGTTCTCAAGTATTGTGTGGCTGCATCCCAGGGCCTCTCAATCCATCTTCATTACGTGATTCCGTCTCCACTAAACCTGGTTAGTAAGTGTAAATATCTATTTCTGCCAAACGAGGAAGAAGGATTTGAAAGGTTGTTATTTTTTAATAGGCTTGGCAGGTTTGCTTAGGGCTAGTCTGGTTTATCAATAACTCCACATAGGAAGTAGAAGTTGTAATTTTTTTCCTCTGTTTAACAAAATTGTACTCATGGTTTTCCTGTTTTTTTTTTTTTTTTTTTTTTGTGCCAAACCTTATAAAGGGAGTTGTGTTCTTGGGAGATTGGGTAGTGAGAAAGCCCCTCCAACTTCCCTTCTTTACTTAGAGACTTTGGTATTGGTCCTATTTCCTTTGATGATGAGTATTGATGATGAGACTTTGGTATTGGTCCTATTTCCTTTGATGATGAAGGGCTGAAGGTTGGCGCTAGAGGCTCTCTGAACGTGATTGCGGAGGGTAACAGAAAAGAAGGGTGTGGTAGGGGATTTGAGACTCAGACTCTTAACGGAAGCAGAATATAGTGAATGCCATATAGAAACTGTCTGCCTTTTGTTGCTAGTCACAGGCATCTGTGTTAACAAAACGTTGGGGACCACTGAAATGTGCCTTTCACTTTTCTTCAGCTAATTCTTTCAACCAGGAAAATGTACAATGACATGTTACAAATTTCTTGAGGTGAGGGTAATCTTTTGGGACCTTCATGCCACCCTTGTGCCATTTGACTTGTGCAGGTGGTCCAAGGCCCATTGAGGGGCTGGAGCCCTGGAGTACCTACTTGCTAATACCTACCCCTCCCCAGCTGGTTTCAAAGGAGCCAAGCTCCCAATTCCTGCGTACGAATTTGGTCACAGTCAGTGCCATAGCATCACACATTCTGAATGTTAAAGGTAGAGATGCCTATCATATCATGGTTACTAAGAACTATCTGAGTGCTAGCTGTTTGGGCATTGAAACTCCCTATGGTCATGAATGGCAGTTGCACAGTCTTTAATTTTTTTTTTAAATTACTTGGGCTGGCACTCATTTTTATGAGGCTTACAGGTTGTAATGTTTCTTATATAATCTCCTGAGATTAGAGGGTTATGTGAAGGGGTGGAGGCCCAGAACAGATGGGCAATCGCTAGAAATCTCACAGTTGGGCAATAGCAGAGTCAAGCCCAAATTCAAGTCATCTGACTGTAAGACCATTGTTCCATTATTGTCTCTACCAGGGCTTCATTCTTTGGGGGTAACTTTCCTGAATCTATATCCCTGCTGTGACTCCTAAAGAGATTTGGTATCTTCTGGACCCTAAAAATGACTTTCAAGAATTCATCTGCTCTCTACCCCTAGTTACTTGGCTCTTAACCAGCACCCACACTTCTTCCTACACCCCAGCTGGGTGTGTTTCTTGGAGGTGCCCACATTCTCTGTGGATGGACTCCTGAAGGAGATGAAAGATGTTTTCTGCTAGACTCATGCTTTCCACTTTCCCCCAGGTCCTACAGAAGCACAGCACCTACCAAGAGCCATCCATATGTGCTACAAGATGGAAAATATTAAGGCATAGTCTCAAGTTCTCGTTTGCCAAGATAGTTTAGACTGTTGTACTTTCATTGTTTGTAGTATAGGGAGCACTCATGTCTGCTGAGAAAGACAGACAGGTCTCTAAAGTGCACTCATGTAAGTGGCTCAGAGGTCCCACCTCCAGGGAGCACACCTGAATAGACAAAGGGTCCATTGACGACTGCTGAGAATTCAAATAAATCTTGAGCCTTGAGTATGCATGTGTCTAAGTGTGTAGTTTGGAAGCTTAGAAAAGTCAATGGAGGATAGAACACAACTGAATGTTTATTCTGTATCCATTTCTCTCTCTTTTAAAATTCTGTCTCTCTCATGTGTGTACAAATGTGGGTGACTACAGAGGCCAGAAGAGAGTGTCAGATCCCTTGGAACTGGAAGTACAGTCAGTTGTGAGCCCCGGATGAGGATGCTGGGAACCAAACTTGAGTCTTCTGTAAGAGCAGCAAGCTCTCTGAATCACCCAGCCAACTCTCCTCTGTCGTATTACTGTTTGTTTTATTTATTTATTTTTTTTTATGGTACTGGGCCTCACACGTGCTGGGAAATGCTATACTACTGAACCGCTTCAAACAGAAGCAAATTCTTTATTCTGGTTCCAGGGCTGACAATTACAAGCAGTGGGCTCTGAAGTGTTCAATGTAATCAGGCCACCACGGCTTAAGGGTAAAGCCAACCAGAGACACAGTGACCTTTCTGTGTGGCAGTCAATAAAACTTGCCCCAGAGTTAGCCTGGCTGGTTTGGGGTTTGGTGATAACTGGTGGACAGGCTTACGGCTGAGAAAAGGAAGGTTTCACAGATGGCCTGTCTGGGTGGCTCTCATGTACAGCAGCCTTCCCTCTCCTTTGCCTGGTTTAGGGGCGCTGGGCCTGGACCCTGCTGAGCTGGGGCTGGCACCTGAGGCTTGCCGCCCTATTTCCAGTTCCAGGAGCTGAAGGAGAGAACGAAGCCAGGGGCACCAGAGAGAGAGGCGGGGGCGGAAGTGGGAAGCTGTGAAGAAATCCTGGGTGACCTGAAGGGAGTGGTCATGGTGGTCACAGCTCACGCCTGGGAATGGCAGAACCAGGAAATGAAGGCTTGTCCCTTTTAGGCGCTGCTCTCAGCCACTGGGGTACCTGGGTTCACCATCCTTCCTTGGTTTGGGGAGGCGCAAAGCCTATTCCTGTGGGTAATGGAGCTGGAACTTTCTATACTGTGCTTTTGAGGCTGAGATCCAGTCACAAAGAGATAAGGGGTTTGCAGCAGAAAGCATTTTGGAGCATAAAGCTGAGAGGGAAGGCAGGGGTAGGGTTGGGCAGGAACCACTCATCCAGTGGAGCCCAGTGGAAAACCTAGTTAATGGTGGAAAACAAAGGGCACCAGGAGGCAGGCATACAGCTTAGTGGGCAGAGTGCTCACCTGGCATGCATGAAGTTCTGGGTTCAATTCCCAGTGTGTGTGTATGTGTGTGTGTGTGTGTGTGTGTATTTTAAAGGCATCAGACGGGAAAGATAGTTTAATTCCACACATCTCCCTCCTTTTAAGAACCACAGAGGACCCTCTGTGCCAAGTGCAGGTGTTATCCTGGTACCCAAGATGCCTTCTTCCGAAGAGACAAAGTCAGGCGGAGGAGGCTGGAGGCAAGCTATGCTCAGGGTCAGAAAGTGGGCTTCTGCTGCAAGGGAGTCCACTCCTCTTCTCTGACTGCTCCTCTGCCCCGAGGTTCTGCCTAACTACAGGGACCTGGTGAGGCGGGACTTCCAGTGCCTGGGTTGACTGTTCCTAAGTGATGGGTGTGTTTTCTGCATAAAGAACACGGTTGGGCTGGGCGTGTTCTCTGCAGAAGGAACATGCTTGGGCTGCTGGTATCACATGTGCTGGCTCCAAGTATACAGGAGCAATAGCTTCAAAGGTCAGTGTAGCAGGAGAGGAAAGGAAGAGAGAGAATTCCAGCCATCTCCTGTCCTTCCGGACAGTGCGCCAGCCAGCAGGAACTCACGGGTATGTGTCCCCCACTTCTTCTGCTTTAATCCCCACAGTTGGGGCTCTTCTTCTGGAAACCCTGTTTTGTTAGATTCAGGCAGGACCAGTTGAAATCAGAGGAAGTGGGCATATTTTATGGGCCTCTTGTTAAGCAAACAATGGTGAGTTGTCAGGACTTCCTGCAGGATCAAACTATTTTGACAGCAAACAAAAGTTCCTATAAATCACCTGCTCTAATAGCTGGCTTGGATCTCCATGTTGAAACCGTTGAGGGCAAAGACTGAGCTGGTGTAAAATGGGCAGTGTCCATGTCCCTAACGTTTATATACTTTCAATTAACCGAGAATGAAGTTGCTAAATGCACGTCACTCCATAGGGCAGGAGAGGAAGTCGGAAACGCTTATTAAATGAAAATCAAGGATCATCCCAGAGAATAAAAAGTATTCAAAGGTGGTGGGTGTGTCAGGAGCACCGCCAAGTGTAGACAGAAGCCATGGCAGAACCAGAAGCAGAGGCGCAGCTCTGCAATTCCCTTCCCCCCCTCCCCCAGTCCACACGGTGACAAGCAAAACCCTTGCAAGGTCGAAGAAAATAGTAAGAGATACAGGCTCCCTGTTTCTTGAGTTTGCTATTAAATGCAGACAGAGCTTATGATGGTAAGGCAGATTCCCTCGAATGTCATTGTGGCCCCACCTTAAACATGAGCAGGAATGAGAGTCATCTCCACTCTCCAAATTTTCTGTCTCATAGTACATAAATATGTTTCAGAATGTTAGCCAAGGATGAGAAATATTTCTGCTGAGGACTGCAGCAGCCTGAGAGTCTAAAGGAAGCCCATTCCACCTGAACTGGCATTTGAGTGAGAAAAGCATCTGTCGCTATGGAGCACACAGAAGGCATGTGATGAAGCAGCAGGTTCCAGCACCAAATCCAGAGTCACCCGAGGAGGGAGGTATGGCGGAGACACTGTGTGCTTAATATTCAATTCTGCTCCAGTAGAACATGGTACCCAGGAGAACCCAAAACTAGAATTAAAATGGGAAAAGGAAAACAAACGATTAAGACAGGATTGTAAAAACATCCACCTTAATATAAAACAATGACATTCATTTTGTTCAGACTTAGGCGACATGGCGTTTCTAGCAGTAATTTAAGTGACGGTAATCTTAGGGGCCAGCTGTGGCTGTGTCCATTCCACATGAGAGCATTGCTTACAATCTGCCACTCAGAGCAATTTCTCCATTCTCTGTGTGCCCAGCACTTCCTACGCTCTCTCTCTGACTTCTCAAGTACTCTACCCATTTCTGCACTGAAATAGCCTTGGGAAAATTCTTCCTGCCTGTTATCAAAGCTAAGGACTCTCCTGTGATCCTGTTTCTAGTTGGAAACTTGCGGGAGGCCAGGGGAGTATACAGCAGGTGACAACTAGTATTTAACAGGTCAACCCACCAGACCCACCTGATGGGGAGCCCTACCTGGCAAGGCTGTTGAGTCACTGACTGTAAATGACTGGTTGTTTTTGTCTGTAATTTCTCTCATGTGCCACTTCATTTCTTCCTTAATAACAGCTATGGGTATTCTCCCTACTGGTTGTGTGTTTATCGAGAGAAAATATCCCATCTTTGGGCACACACACTGCTGTGGATAGTCAGGAAGATGATTTCTGCTTAATCTGTATAATTCTGATAATACTAGAATATTTTTCATAGCTGACACAGGAAAGTAACAGTATTCTCACTCACAAAGACAGCTAATTTTAGATTTCATAACAAATTCAAAAACAGACCAGCTGAGAATACACAAGGACAAATTCCCAGGTGTTCATTGCTAAATCAAAGTCAAATATGAAGCAACTTTGGTAGACATAACCCTCTGCAGTAATTCTCTTTCTGCATGTACCCCAACCACTCAAGGTTCAGCAAACTACTGTTGATTGTTAAGTCCTGAATTTCAATGACATTCTCTGTTTGGAAATGCTAACCACTCAGGCTACGTGTTTGGCCAAGCATTACTCATTGGCCAGTCAGTACAAGCTTCCTAGCCTGAGAAAAACTGCGTGACTTATCATATGTTATGAGGATGGGTCAGACCTTGAAAATGTAACATATAATTGTCCAGAGTGTGGCTGTGTGAGAGAGAGTAAGGTGAGAGAGTGAGTGAATAATGTAGAAGTGTGTGTGTGTGTGTGTGTGTGTGTGTGTGTGTGTGAGAGAGAGAGAGAGAGAGAGAGAGAGAGAGAGAGA